GGACTGTGGTGGGGACAGTGGGGGGACAGTGGGACAGTGGTGGGGACGGTTGTGGTGGGGACAGTGGTGGGGACAATGGTGGGAACAGGGGGGACAGTGGACAGTGGTGGGAACGGTGGTGGTGGGGACAGTGGTGTGGGGACAGTGGGACTGAGGTGGAAACACTGGGACAGTGGAGGGTACAATGGTGGTGGGGACACTGGTAAAGGCGGTGGCGAGGACGGCGGTGGGACAATGGGACAGAGGTACAGTGGGGACAATGGTGGGGACAGTGGGGACAGTGGTGGAAACAGTGGGACAGCTCAGTGGGACAGCGGAGGAGTCAGTGGGACAGTGGGGACAGTGGGGATAGTCGGGCAGTGGTTGGGTCCGTGGAGACAGTGGGGACAGTGGAACCGTGGTGGGAACAGTGGTGGGAACAGTGGGGACAGTGCGACAGTGGTGGGGGCACTGGTGGGGACAGTAGGGACGGTGGTGGAACCAGTGGGGACAGTGGTGGTGAGGACAGTGGCGCTGGGAACAACAGTGGGGGATGTGATGCGGACGGTGGTAGGGACCAGGAGTCGTTTGCTGGCGGTGAGTGGGGCGAGGTGGGGAGGGATTCGAACCGGTAGTGACCCTCCCTCCGGTTTTCGAAGGGGGGGGGGTTCGAACCGGTAGTGACCCCCCCCGGTTTTCGAAGGGGGGGTGGGGGGCGGGGGGGGGGGGGTGGGTTTCGAACCGGTAGGTGACGCCCCGGCTTTCGAGGAGGGGGGGGGGGGAGGGGTTTAGGGTGAGGGGGGGTTTTGCGGGGGGGAGGGGGGGGGGTTCCTAGCAGGGGGGGGGGATTTTCGGAGGGGGGGGGGGCGGGCGGACCCCTGGGCTCCGGAGGAAAAGGCTGGCTATTTTCCACGGTAAAGCGGCGGTGGATCACGGTCTCTCATGACCATACAAGCGGTTCCTTTCAAACCTTGACGCGCGCCCTTGGAACATCGACGCCCCGTTGGCCTGACAGGCCCCCCCCCATGGGCCTGACACTGATGAGGAATACGCGAGCGCAGAGTTACTTTCGCAGTTTCTTGGCTGATCCACCCATCCAGAAACGACGCCGAGTCGAGCTGACGTCGTCAGGGAATTGTTTGAACAAAAACGGATTGTTTTTTTTTTTTTTCTTTTTCTCCGCGAGACCTCTAATGGAATTCAGGGCACAGGGCGGCACCAGGTTTGCGTTGCGTTGCTTTGCTTTGCCTTGTTTTGCCCTGCTGTGCCTTGCTTCGCGTTGCTTTGCGTTGCTCTGCCTTGTCGCAGAGTGCTTGCGGCGTATTATTCTGCATTGCGTTGCTCTGCGCTGCTTTGCGTTGTTTTGCGGTTGGCGCCTAAGGAAGCGACGCGGGGTCCCGCCCGCCCGAGACGCTGTCCTCGGCAGGGGTGGTCGACGGCCAAAGCCCCCCCGATTGGTTCATATTCGTCATTTTGATGCTCGGACCTTGCGGTGTCTTGGATCTGCCGCGGCCAATCCCAACGTCTTGGGAAATCCAGGGCGAGGATACGTTTGAGGGGGGAGGATGGCGGAGGAGGAGGATGGGGGAGGAAGAGGAAGAGGACGAACACGATGATACGAATGAAGCCAAACATGTCGCAACACGGCCTTCTCCGCGAGACTTCTAATGGAATTCGGGGCACAGAGCGGCACCAGGTTTGCGTGGCGTTGCTTTGCATTGCTTTGCTTTGCCTTGCTGCGCTTTGCTTTGCGCTGCTTTGCGTTGCCCTGCCTTGTCATAGAATGCTTGCTGTGCACTTTTCTGCATTGCCTTGCTCTGCGCTGCTTTGCGTTGTTTTGCGGTTGGCGCCTAAGGACGCGACGCGGGGTCCCGCCCGCCCGAGACGCTGTCCTCGGCAAGGGCGTCTGACTCTTAACTCCGATTTGATTGGTTCATATTCGTCTTTTTGATGCTCGGGCCTCGCGGTGTCTTTGATCGGCCGCGGCCAATCCCAACGCGTTGGGCAATCCATTGCGAGGATAAGATTGAGGGCGAGGCGGAGGAGGAGGAGGATGGGAGGAGGAGGAAGAGGACGAACACGATGATAATAATAAAACCAAAAATGTCGCAACGCGGCCTTCCCCGCGAGACCTGTAATGGAATTCAGGGCGCAAAGCGGCACCAGGTTTGCGTTGCTTCGCTTTGCTTTGCCTTGCTTTAACTTGCTGTGCCTTGCTTTGCGTTGCTTTGCATTGTTCTGCGTTGTCGTAGAGTGCTTGCGGCGCATTACTCTGCATTGCGTTGCTCTGCGCTGCTTTGCGTTGTTTTGCGGTTGGCGCCCGAGGAGGCGACGCGGGGTCCAGCCCGCCCGAGACGCTGTCTTCCGCAAGGGTAGTTGACGCCGAACTTCCCTTTTTCTGAGGTTCGGACTTTGCAGTGCCACCCATGTGCCGCGGCCACCCCCAACGTCTTGATAAATCCAACACGAGGATAATCTTGAGGGGGGGAGAAGGAGGAGGGGGGGCAAGAGGATGAGGAGGAGGACGATGACAATAACAAAACAACACGTGTCGCCCAAACAGCCTTTCCCACGAGACCCCCAATGGATTTCAGGTCGCCGAGGGGCCCCAGGTGGAGGAGGAGGAGGAGGAGGAGGAGGAGGACGGGGAGGAAAACGAGGAGGAGAAGATAACCATTGGGGATGAGGAGGAGGAGGGGGACGAAGAGGACGGATGAGGAATACAAAACATAATGTCGCAACACTGCTTTTCCACAGGGCAACTGGTTGGCTCAGCTGATCGCCCCACGGGCTTCGCCGCGAGCGCTTGCCTGCCAGTCCGGGATTCCCTGCCGACCCTCGCACGCCATGTCGGCGCCGCCCAGTGCCGACGGTGTTGTGGAAAAGGAGAGGTGCATGGTCATTGACGGGGAATCTCGGCCCGCAGCTTTGCACATGCTGCGCGCAAATGGGCCCGCGAAGACAATAGTGTCGAAGGCGGGGTCAGGGCGGACGAGGAGACGATCATGACTTACTGCGCCCTGAAGATGCTCCTGCCCGAGGGGAAGCCCATAATGAACACACATGATGAATGAAGTCAAGCTCACCGCGAAGAGGACGACGACGCTCGGTGCAGAGCTCTTCTTGCAATGGAAGAGCGGGTCGCCCGTGGTCCCAGACGCCTGCAACAAGTTCATCGTCGACGCTTCGAGTGTCCCAGACGTTCCAGCAGGAGTCGATCCTACGGACGCTTGGCTGTTCAAGCAGGGGGTGGGCAAGTCGTTTTTTTTGGGGATGGTTTTCAGTACATCAGGGCGGAAGGCTCTTTGAGTCGGTTTCTGAGCATCAGCAGCGGGGCGTCTATGGCTGCCCTGGCGGACGGCCCGGGTGGCGGCGCGCCGCAGGAGCCTGGCGCGACGCCCCCGCGCCCTGCCGCGGCCGCGCCGCCGTCTCCAGAGGCGGCGGGCGGCGGGCCCCCGGGCCCGCCGGCGCCGGCTGTGCCGACCCAGACGCCCCGACGTGAGCTGGAGCGGTGCGACAGCGACCCCGTCACTGTGGAGGGCGCGTATGACAAGGTCTCTTGGACATGATCAAGACGTGGAAGACGGACGCGTTGTCCCCGATCGGCCTGGCCCTCGTGCACCTCGCGAACGTGGGCGCGTCGAGCTGGGAACCGTTCGAGGCCAATTTGTCCATCGAGGACCAACCGAAGTTCATGTTCAGCGGCGTCTACGCCAGCTTCGAGCGCGCCCGGTTCAACGCCCACCTGGGCACCGCCAAGAGGGAGACGTCCTCCCCACAGAGCAAGGGCTTCGAGTTGGCCATCGCGCTGCGGGGCGAGGCGGGCAACTTGCAGGGCGAGAATGCGCTGGAGAAGAAGGAGCGCGCTTTCGCGCGCACCCTGTTCGGCCCCGTGACCGTATCGGAGAAGGCGAAGTTCGTCATCGGCGTCGACGGCGGTTGGACATCGCTGGAGGAGTGGGACCCCGCGAACCCGCTGCGTGCTCTGGAGCGCCTGTGCGAAAAGACGCCAGATCTGAAGGGCTGCAGCTGGCACGACTTCGAGGCGTCCGCGGCCGCGGCCCTCGTGCTGGACGGCGTCGTGGACGCGGTGCCGCACCCGACGGCGCGGAGCACGCTTGCGCATTCGCAGGCTTTGACCGCCATTGTGGACCCCCTGAAGTCGAAGCGCCTGGCGCAAGTCGCCAACTTGTTTTTCTTGGAAATGGCGTGCGTGAAGTTTGCCCTGGGGGGGGACGAGCAGCGGGAATTCCCGCCTTTTCCCGAGATGGGCGCCCTGGCCCGCGCGGAGAACCAGGCGATCTTGGCAATGTGGAATTTGATGGGCACGAAGGCGTCGAGGAAGCTCCTGGACAACTTCCGCTGCGCCGCCCAGATCAAAGCCATGGTCGACGGGGCTTCCGCGGCGGAGGGCGCCGCCGCGGTGGCGGATGCCGAGGCGGCCGAGGAGGCGGCGGACAAGGCGGCCATGGAGGCGGCGTCCAAGAAGGCCGAGG